AACGAAGTCGCTTCTCATCACGTGGCATTTATAGCAGCCAAATACTCTAAAAGGCATGTTTGTAAATGTGGAGGGAAGAACTGAAGGACCTGAAGAGAAATATGTGATCACGGGGAGAGAAAGGGAGATGCAAACTCCAAATATACATATTCTATGGTTCTTTCGTCACGTAGATAGAAAAAATTATAACACTAATAATAAAAATAATGAAAATAAAGTGAATAAAAATAATAATAAAATATTACTGATATTTTTAAATAATATTTTATTCACTTTATTTTCATTTTTATTATTTTATTGTTATTATTTTTTCTTTTATCTAGGTGACTTACCGAAAGTACCCTAGAATATGAATTCCTGTAGTCACGAAAGTTGTAAGTAAAAATCTAAATATACAGGCATTAGGGTCGGGATTGAACCCAGGACTCATCGAGGGAGTTGCATCTCGCCACTGTGTACCCTCATCACAGCCCCCCTAAGACCCAAGAATATATAAACTAAGTTGGGAAACCCTAGAATCTAGTACAATATATGGCTTTATTTGAAGCCTTAGTTCATAGAAATGGAAACATCTGATAATAGTCAATACTGTTTTATTGAATCATGCAAATAACTCTCCAAGTGAAACCTTTCATCAAAGGTAGTGTATGGCATTGTTTTATTCCATTTAGTTAAGAAAATTATATCTAAATAATAAGTAGGTTTTTATTTTGTAAAATAACAATTTGATATTTATGTATTAGCTATTTCTTCTGAACGGTGCATCTTACGCTGATTCATAGCACTTTGCATGAAATGCCCAGCAATCATAAGATTGTTGTTGTTTCGATTTAAAGCTTTCGTGACTGCAAGGATTCATCTTCTTTGGTTCTTTCGGTAAAGTCACGTAGAATGAGAATAAAATAATAAATTGATAAAATAAACAACACAATAAAATTCTCACGACGTTTCGGCCACAAGACAAGCGGCCTTCATCAGGTGAAGGGACGAGACTGTCTGGAGGACAGCGCTGTCCTCCAGACAGTCGTGAGAATTTTATTGTGTTATTTTATTTTATCAATTTGTTATTTTATTCTCATTCTACGTGACTTTACCGAAAGAACCAAAGAAGATGTGTTATTTTATTTTATCAATTTATTTTATTCTCATTCTACGTGACTTTTTACGAAAGAACCAAAGAAGATTGTTGTTGTTGTTGTTAGCCTCTAACTTCCCACTGTTGGGTACAGGTCTCCCCCGATGCTATCCCTTCCTTCCCTCCGTTGTTGTTGTCTGGTAGTGGCCTCGGAAATTATTTGATCCCGCTGCTGCCATCTTTTGCCGCTGTCTGCCTTCCAGTGCTTTTCTCTCGGCATGCAGTCCGAAGTTAATTTTGTCTGTGGAGATTGATATGACGCTTTAAATATTCATGTCACTTTTCACCAGCTGTACGTTGTTGTTGTTTTTTCTTCCCTTGGACATTTTTGTTAAAACGATCTACGCAGATTTCCGCGTGCGTGAGTTAAAGAACCCCTCGGGGTGGTTGCAGTTGGCTTTTAGAAGGAGCGCTTTAAAACATTTTTTTTTTAAACTCCCGTTGTTTAAAGGTCACGCTCGCTTACAAAATGCCAGCGTGCTGGTGCTGAGGAGTGCGGATTAATGTTTAGCAAGTTGATGGGTTTCTGTTCGCGTTAATGGGAATCACACGGGCGCTCGGCACCATTATTGCAAGTGGATCATTTACTGGACTCCAATTTCCTAGTATGATTCCTAAGGGCAGTGTTGGGCAACATCATCGTCATCCAATCACTGCATTACAGGCACAACCATTTTGTCAGTCCACTGCTGAATGGAGCACTGCCCGAACTGTGCATGTCATGGAGGTTATTTGACCATACTTCACCGTCCTGATGAGTGCAGAGCACTCTTCTCTGCCAACCACCACGGTAGCAAATTTACGTAAAATGAGCATTTTCGCAGAGAGCAACATGCATAATCGAATGTGTTGTATAACATAGTCGTGCCATTTATTTACCAATGACAATGATTTACCCAGGAAAGCCTCGCACAGTCTCAAGACACTTTTTTCAGGGATCTTTGGCCCATTGCGTTTGTGAGTGGCACGTGGAGAAAACCTGGGAACCCAGAAAACCCCCCACACATACGAGGAGTAACATCCAACACTGACATCTCCTAGCCATCTCGTAGCCCTGGCACTACCTCACCTGGCAAGTCCATATATTGTCCTTGCTAGATTCTGAGTATATGTTGGAGGGATTGACATAAAATAGCTCAATATTTTTTTCAAGCAGGGCTATAAAAATAACCGATTGCAGATGATTGGTTCATTTACTCAGATATGTTTACCACCTCTGTTCCCACGTGTGCCGCTGGAAGGGAAGTGATGGGCAGGGCTTGGTGATATCGATATCACCGTTCTCGTCACGCTGGGCATGTCTTTGAGGGAGTTTCGTGCCTTTGTGAGGAAGAGTGTTGGGGTGACCACCTTTTTCAAGAGGCCCCAGTAATCTACCACAAAAAAAATAAAGTGGGCTATTAAAATGTTTAGTCCATGCAAATCACTTAATCGAATAATCACCGCAGCTCCAAAGATGTTGTTGATGACCGTAGCCTTTGCTGAGCTCATCTAAGAGGTATGCGTTTCCAAAGCAATTGCTCACAACACACTAGCAAGTGCCTTAAAAGGGCGACCATGTGAAGAATGATAAAAAACACCTCTTGGAAGGCCTTTATCTAGGAGTGTATTGACAAAAAGGCTGAGAATTATTATTCATGTATGATGTGCATGGTTTTTAATACAACTTGACCCTGATTTTTGACAGTTCATGGTGTCAGGCCCAGTCATGTTTCTCATCTGTAATTTTTTTTATCATTGTTTTTTATAATTTAGCTTTGTCCATTCACTTTAATAGAATTCTAGAGTAGCATTTTCATATAATGTTCATAAATGGTAAAGAAAGCAACACATGTTTACGTGCGTTATTCAATGCATACATTGTGAGTGTATAAATACACTTCCATTCAATTTTTTGTTTAAAAATAATTTTTTTATATCTACGTGACTTTACCGAAAGAACCAAAGAGTATGAATTCCTGCAGCCACGAAAGCCACAAATCAAGATTACACTTCCATTGCCGAATCGATGCGTTGGTTCACACCTAATTGTCATGGTAAGAGTAATGGTAAACGTACATAAGAGTGTTTTAACTCTGCTCGATCGCTTTCCTAGTCTTGTTGCTACGCCTTGTGCATGATTTAAATATTGACAGGGGAGCCTTTCAGCAGGAATATGCCTACGAGCGGGTAAACTTTTAAAATCTTTAATAAAATGTATACATAAAACCTTGTATTGCGAGCATAATTCGTTCGGGAAACGTGTTTGTAATCCAAAGCACTCGTATATCAAAGCACTCGTATATCAGTTGTGATCACGTGACGCTTGGCAGACAAAGCGTATACGTGCTACTCGTATTGCCAAGATCTCGCTCGTTTATCAAATTAATATTCATTTACATTTTTTGCTCGTCTTGCAAAACACTCGCAGACCAAGTATCTCGCAATCCAAGGTTTTACTTTATATTACTTCAATCGTGCTGTTTGTTCCTGGCCGCTTGGCAATTTGAGTCTGTGCTCAGTGCAGCTTTGGTTTGAAATGAAATAAAAAAAAATCTGAACTCTGAGGCATTGAAGGTGAGATCTAGGGCTGTCTGGTTGAAAGCAAGGCGGCTTCGCTTGAGGTGGATCGTAGATATCACTTGACGTTTCACTTTTTAAATAAAATTACAAAAAATATATAATGTACTTTTCTATATATATAGTGTCATTCATGCTAATTGTATCTCAAAATGCTTAACATTTTGATCCACCATACAAACGTCTTCAAATAGAAAAATTACTTCATTAAAAAGGTAATAGAACACCACGGATAAACAAAACAAAACACGACCAAGAGCACGGACCACGTGGGGCAACATGGAGCACTCAAGCTCCCGACATCCAAGAAAGTCCAGGCAAAAAACCATCGCATTTATTATATTTCATAGAGCATTATGCATGCAAATAGCAACCCAACACACTGAACGTCATGGAGCCCTTGCACATATCAGCTTCCTCTTTCCGTGCCCATCCACCAAAGTCAAACGTCCTTCAAGTGGCAAGCACATTCTCGGCGCTCGCAGGTGGCGTGCTGCGAGATCTCACACGGTGCAGGGGTCTTCCTTGGACAGTGGGCAGACCGAGATGAGTCGCACGGTCGGCCTCTCATAGCCACAGTAGTCGTAGCTCTCTGGCTGTATGGAACACCGCCACGTGGCCAGGTTGGATCTTAACCTGTCAACTTGTGTGCGAAGTCGGTTCAGAGTTTTCCATGGGGTCCACTTCTGTGATTCCTCCCGTGGGGAGTTCACTCGGCCTTGTTGCCCACGCTGATCTGGGCTATAAGCGGCTGTTAACAAGAACGCCCTTAAGTGTGATTTGAGTGTTGAAATGGAGATGATCAAACGCCGTACGTGCATTGGGAGTGCATTTCCATGCAGATGAAGCCGCAAAAGAGAAAGCACACCACCCCAAAGGTCGTGCACTTGATTTTTGGTGTGACTAGCAGCTCAAGACTAGATGAGCAAAGGAGTCTAGTTGGGGTATTCAGAGCAATTGGAGGTAGAAATTATTTGAAAGGCAGTGCAATTATGACTTACATATAAAGAGATGAGCAAAGGAGAAACTCACACGTAAACCATCATTCATTGTGTAATTTATAACCTGTATCAATTTATTCTCATACATCGCTATTCAGGTGCATAATTACAATTTACGGTGGTGACAGACGTTGATGATTCATATAATACTGATAACATTGGAAAGGTTCATTCAGATAGCGATGCAACATCTGTCATAACATAGTGTGCTCGACATGGGACGTGTTCATAACCAATGATAAAAGTATAACTGTTGCATTAAACTTACACACCGAATTTCAATGTGATATTTTTTTCCATTTCAGGTTCGCACCCTGTTCGTGAGTGGGCTGCCTATGGACATTAAGCCCAGGGAACTCTATCTCCTCTTCCGACCTTTCAAGGTAAAGGACTTCTCATAATGATCTTATGCTGTTACTTCCCGTCCCTATATATTTTTTTCTTTACCCCAGGCACCAGTTTCACTTGAAATGGAGCAATTAATTGAATAATAATAATTCAATATGCACTGGTATTGTTGTACGACATCACTCTTTCTTCAGGTCTTTGTATGTCTCTCTGCCTCACTCCAGCTTCGTGTCTCATGTCTATGACTCTCTGTGCCTCTCTTATTCATTGCTTTGTCTCTCCCCATGTCGGTTTCACCTCCATATTAGGGTTGCCACTTTTTTTCACAAACCAAACACGGATAGATTTCTCGGTCGGCATAGGTCTATAAAAAAACCAATGCGCTACACGGCAATAAAGTTCAACACAATAGCGGCACCAGATCTCGGTACGAATCAATTCCTGCCGCCCGAAACACAGATGCCAATTTCACTGTCCCAAGTCAAACCCAGACAGGTGACAACCCCATTCCGCATCTCAGTGTTTGTCCCTCGCTATATATGTGTCTTATTTTCTCAATGTGTCTGTGTGAATGTATGTATTCCTTTCGATCGTGTAGCAGTTCGATTCCCGCTCACGGCCAACACCAGTGACAATTATCTGAACCAATCCTGGGCCTCCCCTAGGTCGACTCGGTTTCAAATGAGTACCTGGTGCGGTGTGTGAACATCGCCACTGGAGAGACAAAGGCGGTCGTGTGTGGTGCTGGCCACCCACCCTCTCGTATACCGTGCCAGCCTTCATCGGTGCTCACGAACAGCACTTGCCTCAACAGTCTGCTGCAGACTAGATGGGGGATCTTTATCTTTGTCTTATTCCTTCTTGCCTCTTTTTGTGTCTGTTTCCCTCCTCTCCTGTTTTTGCTGCTCGCCCGGTCTCTCTGTGTTTGTGTCTCTTTGTCTCTCCCTCGTTGTGTATTCTGTCTTGGTGTGTCTCCTTCTCTCTGTGTGTCTCGAACAGTGACCCGCCCCACCTTATCCGCTGCCCCACCCACTTTCGCTTTTTGCCTCTCCCACCACTCCCCCTGGGCTGTATCCGCCAAAGTGATTTCACTCCAACACCTATGACAGGAAGTGCGCTTTGTTGTGAGTTCCAGTGATGGAAACACATTACACTCTGCAAATGTCACAAGCGGCACTGACAGAGGGGATTTTATTGTTTTTCGATCGTAATAAGGTTTAAAGTAAAAGAGAACCTACCTTTTTGAATTTAATGAAACATAAATAATAATGCCAATCTTGCAGCTACCAGGTTTATGTTCTACAATGCTATCTCCAGTGATTAAAGCAGTGCAACTGATGGTTTAGAAGTAATCCATGTGTTGTATTTGAGTCGTTTTGCCTTCCACTTGTATTCTACAGCATTTTGTTGCAGTATCCATTACCAATTGGGCAATCTAATACTGTATTTATAGTGGTGTACCAGCACTAACTACTAGACTATCTGATCATATTCAATACAAGTGATGTGTTGTTTGAAAAGGTATATGTCCTATGTACGCTCATCCACAAACTTAAAGGCTTCCAGTGATCTCCAAAATGGAATAAACCAGTATTTTATGGATCTATAAAAAAAGGGGCACAGAGAGTTATGTGAAAAAAAGCCTTTGACACTGTCCACATTTCCTCCACCCATGCTGTTTATTCTGAGACGCCTCTCATGCTGTCGATTCTTTGTTAACTGTTTCTTAGGCACCACAGCCTCTTTCCTCCTCGTGCTATTTTTGGTCCAACTCGCAGAGCGATTGAATATTTATGAGGTATTGTATAGTACTGTGCCACAAAGATTGAAGTGTATATTTCGGAATTATATTATTATTGTCTTCAATATATCACCTGCTTTTGGATGTATTGTGTTTTGATTTTTCGTGGTCTGTAATAGAACATCTTCAGTTTGTTACCTTTTCTTATTTTCCTTTTGTACACATTACTCTGGTGTCCGTGTTAAGAATCAAAACCATCTGGCTAACACTTTTGCAAATTAAATGATAATCTTAAGAGAAAATATTGGAGAAACGTAGAATTGTAAACTGTTAGTGTAGCACACATTTGCACTTGTCAGGAATTGATGATGTCTGATTAAGTTAAAGTGTAACGATAGTGTGTGATACCACCTCACGTCATCATTTCCTGTAGCTATACCCCCTCAGCTCTTTCCACAATCAACAGCCGATCTCCAAGGCCTGCTCAACCATTTGGTTGTACAACTCCATTGTGTGTCTTTTGTACCCCTTTCCCACTGGCACATCGAGCTACGCCAGCACACACAGAGCCCTCGCGGTACGATTGTGTTTCTCCCCCCCACCCCCTTCATCGTTGGCTATTTGCCATCCCAACCGAGAATCAAATCGTGAATCTCTCACGAGCATCACAAGACATTCTGAATGTGACTCGAGGCCAAGCAGAGGCAGAGCTAGGGGGCTGGGTAGCGGCACCAGCTCTGGTGTAGGAGTGGGGAAAAACAAATCCTGTGCCTCCCCACCCTTGCCGGGCTGGCTCGGCATCAGCCCAGGCATAGCTCGGTTGTGCAATGGAAAAGCGGTGTCAATTGATCCACTGCCTTGCTCCATCCTGCACATGGTGCTGCACCCACCCCAAATTGCACCTCCTGATTATGTCCACAGTGCTCCTGTTGCCACTTTTCTATTCTCAACTTTCAAGTTTATATATATATTTTTTGCTCTGTTCTGCCATTAAATACCATGGGATCCATAATTAATACACTGTGGTATAATCAGGGCTGGGTTAAGGCACGGGGGGGGGGGGGGGGGGGGCTTTGGGGGCTGCAGCCCAGAGGCCTCTGCCAGCTGGAGGGCCTCCAGAGATGAAGTGAAAAGTGATTTCATTTGTAAATGCTGAATTTTTATTTGTTGTTAGCCTTGTAAAAAATAAGTTTTATTTTTCTTTAATTTTGTTTTTGTTTTTAAAATATTACTGGGGGGGGGGGGGGCTCACAGTACCTGTAGCCCAGGGGCCTACAAACTCTTAATCCGGCCCTGGGTATAATTGAGTAAGCTTGTTTATAGAAGATAAAGCTGTTACGTGATTTAGCGCTTACGAGGAAAGTCCCCCCCCCCCCCCCGTCCGCCAATGCTGAGAGCACCACATTTTGAATAGTAATCATAGTGTCCACTAATGCTTAACCACTTGTAAGGCATTTACTGATGGCAACACAAACGCTCATGCATAGCTGGAATTCTGTATCTTCCACATGCAGGCTATTTGATTCCCCATTGCTCTGCCTCTTATTTGTTTCAACTGATGTGCTCTCATTTTTTCTTCATTGATATTTTATCCTTTGTAGCAAAATCTCCACGATTATTTCTTTTTTCGTTTTAAAGCTTTCGTGACTGCAATGATTCATCTTCTTTGGTTCTTTCGGTAAAGTCACGTAGAATGAGAATAAAATAATAAATTGATAAAATAAAATAACACAATAATATTTTCACGACGTTTCGGCCACAACACAAGCGGCCTTCATCAGGTGAAGGGGCTGCAGCCTCGCCCCTTCACCTGATGAAGGCCGCTTGTGTTGTGGCCGAAACGTCGTGAGAATATTATTGTGTTATTTTATTTTATCAATTTATTATTTTATTCTCATTCTACGTGACTTTACCGAAAGAACCAAATAAGATTATTTCTTTGGTTTCTAATTTAAAGTTCAATTAATTATAATCTAATCTTTGGTTTCGACTGAAAAATGTTCGTGCTAATGTTTTATGTTTATACAGAATGTATGTGTAATGGTAAAAATTATACATGAACAATAACGTGTACATAACAATAACAATAATCCGAGAAAAATCTGAAACTCTTCCATAGATATGAAAAATTTGGATAATCTGGGATTTTTTTTTAATTTCACATCGATTCAAAATACTGCTGCATTACGTTTATATGACATTGATCCTTTCCTTTTCCCATTAAAAGTGGTGTCACTTGGCATGGGGTGATGTCACTTTTGTTCACACAAAGACGCATTAAATGATTGCATATTGTAAACGATAAAAAAATTAGAATATCTATTTATATCCAAAACTCATCACTAGGACTGACCAAAATGTGATTGCTAATATTAATTGTCATAACAGTTTAATTGGGGATATATATTTGCCTGGGGCTAAATTCTTAGGTCGGCAGAAAGTTACCATTCACCAATTTGGCTATGTTCTCCTAACAAGGTACAGGATATAATAATTTGAATCAAAACCTATATTTAGACCGGAGGAATCCGATAAGCTATGAAGCTCTTTTTTCAATTATGTCCAGTAGGGGTGGGTCAGAACGTTGCAACAACACACAATGCAAAAATAAATTATAGGAGTGCAAAATAGACAAAAGGTAAGCAAGTCACTCTAGAACATACCTCAGTTCCTTGGTTTGATCCTGACACGTGCAACATATCAGCTCACACATTTCAAATCTGAAGAACGTTTGGAACAAACAAGACAACTTCTTTCGGAGGATTCATTATGTCAGGGAAGAAGATAAGCATAAAAGGCTTGTTCAAAAGTTAACTGTGATTTAGTTCAAATTGGTTGTAGTTATACCATAGTGCAGTTCTCTACTGCTTTTGCCAAGGACCCTGTCATGTGGATCCTGCCACACACACTAGCTCCTCCCATTTTCGTTGGAGCTCCTCCCACTCACCTTGTAGCTCCTCCCACTCTGAATGTAGTTCCTCCCACTCAACCTGCAGCTCCTCCCACTCTGAACGTAGCTCCTCCTACTCTCAAGTGTTGTGAGTTGATAGTCTCAGCCCGGTCTCCATTGCCGGAATGAAAAACCATCACGTTCATTTTTTGGGGTTTTAATTTAGCTACATTTATGCTCTCATAAACAAACATTACTCTATGGCAGGGCATGTATGTGTGTGTGTGTGTTTTCCTTACTTAGTATGTTTGGATAAAACTAGGTCTGTTAAAGCTATCTAAGAAGTATTTCTATGATATCCGCTTCTGTGGACCATTCTCTAACAGATGGGGTGAGAGTTTGGAATAGACAGTTACTTAATTTCATGACATAAACCATAGAATGAATATCCACTTGATAAAAGATGCATATATTTTCTTAATTCCCATAAAAATAATCTTACTTGGCAAAAACAGTAATCTAAGTGTTGAACTACTGTAGTATGAAGTCCTTTGTGCTTATCTTCTGAAGTATGGGAGGAGAATGTATGTTTCATCGTAGCTGATATGTTTTGGAACATGATCACATAGTTGGAGGAACTACAAGGTGTATTTTGGGGCGGGGGGAGCGGGGAGGGTATGGATTATGCAGACACACTGGCACGATCAGAAGCATTTGGTGATTGTTGGCACAGTACAGCCGTCGTGACACAGTGTGTACTTGAAATATATCAATGATCAAATGAGACGGGCACTAAATTATGTTCTTGCATATGGCAACATGTTCAGGAGCCAAATGCAAATGCGGAGGTCTGATAGCCATGTGAGGGCTTCAGGAGAGAGAGAGAGAGAGTTGGTGTAGTTGTGCTATTCCTCCTCCACTGAAGGAGAGCACACAACGTGGTTTGCTATATGGTCCATAACCGATTGGATGAGGTCTTCGAGACTTACAACTATGAACATTGAAGGACTCTCAAGACCTAAATGTCACTTCCTGGCCAAAAACCTACGGGAAGACGATATAGATGTCATTGCCTAATGGAGGGGGGAAAAACAAAGAGTCGATGAACTTTGTGTTTGTGATACTGTTTGCTCTACCTTCACCCGTGAACTCGAGTAATTGTCCCTGTTTTGTATCTTTGGTAGACACGGTGAAAGGATCCCTTAATTCTTCCAACAAGTGGCAACATCTTTCTTCAGTCAGTGTAAATTTTCGTGGGGATCGATGGCGAAACGCTCTGGGTAATATAACGTCTAACGCCACTGCTGGCATTAGGGCCTCAAACCGCAGGGAGCTCTGTAGAGCGCACCCCCGAGGGGATATTTGGCCCTCCTTTTCCACTTTGGCCAGACTATCTTGGAAGTGATGGGAGTGCACCCGCACTTTATCCCACCAACCACGGCCTACTGATAGACCAACTTGCACCTCCAATTAGCACGGTTGGCTGTGCACGGTGCAAGCTACATACATAACAGAGGTTTTTTTTTGGGTTAGATCGCGTAAACATAAATGTGTCGTTAAACCCACCGCCACCCGACGCCGCCAATTAGTAAGGTGTCTCACGTAAACAAAACATGCCGATTCAAACGGGTGTGTTGGAGAGTAAACCCGCAACATTTACAATTGGCATGTTTTGTTCACGGGAAAAACCTTACTAATTGGCTGTGTCGGGTGGTGGCGGGTTTAACGACACATTTATATTAATGCACTCTACCCCCCCCCCCCCCCAAAAAAAAAACCTCTTATGGATAATATTGGTCTCGAAAGCCTACGTGTTAAACATATATACATGCATCTGTTGTGTTCCCATTCATTCTGCTTGCTGAACAAAGATGCGGTGGTGGGGGGCTAAAATATACTTTTTCCCCTATTGTTTCATTTGCCGTGCCGTGGGGTAAAACAAACCGGTGACCTCTGGATTGCTAACCATTTCACCACGGCAGCCACCCCCCCCACCCCACCACCTTCCTTTCTTGATCACGACATAGAAACAGCTTGCCGTTGAAAGCTTGTTCCATTGAAAATGGAAGAGAGAGAAGAAACGTGTCACAAACATTTGTGATTTATGAACAGGTTTGGGTATCGAGTATGGAGAGTATTTTTGTTTGCACAACAATAGGAATCTCCCTAATTAAGATAATAATTCTGTAGCTATGGGCTGATGAAGTATTCAACTGAATTGCTTTCTAATTTCATTATATAGTTCATAAGGCTGTAATATCTGAACACGTTGCAGAAGATTTAATGAGGTTAATATTATACTGTAATTTGCAAGTACTGACAACATGCGATGCAACTGGAGATTAATGTTGGTTTACGTTTTGTAAATTTCTATTTTATCATGTTTTTTTACTGACGTAAGCACACAAGCCCGATAAATCGCGCCAGTGGTTTCTAGGGAGCGGGAGTTATGAATTGTAACTTAAAAAAACATTTACAGTGTAGTATAACATCACATGTCCGACCATCAGGATTTAGTTTGCCACAGGTAAAACCCAATGGGCAATAAATCGTCATCGTCAATGGGGACCTGAGTACACCATAGAAACCTGGTGACAGCAACAAAAATAAACGTGAAAAAAACAAACCAAAAACAACTGTGAATCGTCAAGTTCCGGATGGCAAGGCCCGTACATCGACGTGGTACAACCAACAACAAAACATGCAAGGCTAATAGAACAACATCGCATCAGCGGTATAGGCGGATATGTGAAAAGGCGGTTACTCTGTAAACATTGAGCATTGAGCCAACGTTGGGCCAACGTTGGCCAGACGGTTCCAACCACATGCCAACGTTGGCACGTTTTCTGGCTAATTGGTCAGGACACAGATATGTGGTGGTCAGCTATGCGATGTTGTTGCTGCACTGCCGTTATCAATAAGGCTACAAGTAACACTAGAGTAAGCCTTTCATGCACGTGTGCAACATATGAATCGCTGCATATAAATAAATAAAAAATTGGTGGTTAAATCCCATGAATATAAATGTCGTTAAACTCGCCACCACCCGACACAGACAATTAGTGAATAAAGCAGAGGCATTGTATAATGATTTATTTTAGACAATTTAAATCGATTCTGATGTTCTTGATACACACATCATATTGCCGCTGTAAGAATGGATTATTTAGAATATATTTAAGTGATATGCTAATATTACATTTAGGCTAATGGAAGAAAATAACTGTACAAACTAGGCAAAAATATAATAATAAAAACAATACAAATGAGGAGGCAAAAAAATATTCATTAACCATTTGCGTAACCAAATCGTGACAATTCATCAAATCGCTGTGAGCTTGAGTTGTTACACTCCCATTAAAGAGATGAACACAAATAAACAGTGCTCGCAAGGTATTTAAATCCTGCACCGGTAGACAGATCAACCGACAACATATTCAAGAGGACAGTCTTCTCTTAAAAGCGTTACCAGCAGTGTACGACTCGCAGATAATGGTACACTCCCAGTGCCGTGCACAAGGCAAAGGTGCAGCCCTGCAATTACTCCATGAGAAGAGCCTCACCGCTATACGGGGGCTCTAGAAAGAGGGTACTGTGCTTGGATTACTTTTCCACACTGTGCAGGCGACTTGGATAGAGGTGGGAGTACCGTCAACACTTTGCCCCCAACACGGTCGACCTGCCGGTCGACCGTGCCATTGCGCCGCTGCGGATGACGAGAATATCACTCGAGTGAGCGTGCCTCAGAGTTATACTCCACGTGCATCGCTTCCAATAGGAACGATGGCCTCTCTCGTCCTTACCCCGTCTGATAGCGAGAGTGGAATATTTACACATTTACTCATTTTGCACTGACAGGCTCGCGCCTCCGCCGTAACAGCACCATTACTGAACCAGGAATGAAATTCACTTCTTTTGGCCAAGGTCATGTGTGCTAGAACAGACCTGTCCTGATTATAATGAAACATGTTTCACGGTGACCACCGTTTTTATTTTATTTTTTTTGTCTTCAGCTTATACCGTACTGTACTGGTAAATTACGTACACATTTTTTTTATAGTTTTTTCTCACGGTAAATTATATCTTTGCTTTCGTGCAGTGTGTTTCATATTCACGTATTATTTTGGTGATTAATAGGTTGCTTTTAGGGTCACGATGAATGCGTCGAATCGCAGATGTAAGAATTGACGTGTTGTTTTTTTAATTGTATATATTGTGTGTAATTGGGTCACATCCGCTCTGCAGCAGCCACTGGAGGTGCTACTATTCACCACGATGTAATGAAAATAATTGATACTTGATTTGAATCACAACCGTGAACCGTGACAGGCAATCGAATCGCTGGGAGGGCGAGTCTCCACCTCTCTTGGTTTACGTCAACGGGTTTACGTTCCACTCGCTTGTTTTTATTAAATGCTGCCTGTGTTGTGTTTTACAGGGATACGAAGGGTCTCTTATCAGGCTCACATCTAAACAGGTACAACATGTGTTTTCTTTACCCTTTTTAAACTTTCAAAGCATTCAAGTGTAATTTGCTTCCAGTGTGCCCTCCTTGAACGTATGGATATGTTTTAATTTCATAATTTGTATTTTTTTTGCTTTTATGCAAGCCAAGTTATTTTTCACGAAACGTAAATCCAAGACGTGATAATTTCATTTAAAAAACCAAATGACTTTCAATAACTGAACAACTTGTGCATTATAACCTTCCAATGGAAAAATAACTTAAAATAGCCATGAAGTTGTATTTTGTTATATCTGCACTCTGAAATTACACACGCACAGAGTGCTGTATATCGTGTTGATGTACCCAGTTCACATTCAATATGCTACACATGATATTACTTTAAAACATAACTGTTGTCCTGACTTTTAGCACACAGTCAGATGGGGATGGGAAGGCAGATTACTTTTTGGAGAGGCTGCAGGAAAACGTCCTCCGGCTATTCCAGACCTGGGCATATGGGCAATTACGACGTGATACGTTATGCAGTTTGGACAGGCAGCAATGTAAACTGAGCAAGCACTTGCAGAAACAAGGCATCTGCCACAGCCCTGCTGTGGCACATTCCCTTGTAAGGCAAGACAGGGTAGGAGATGAGTGGGAGACCGGCCTGAGTCAAACCCAAGGTACGTCATCCCAACATTTTCACGGTTTATCTTCTCTTCCCCCCTCCCGTCCCCTCTCCCCCGCAACCACCACATTTTATGAGATCTAAGGCCGCTTGTGTACAGCGCTAGCGAATTTTTTTCATTGGACACACTCTCTCTGTTCATCGCAGTGATAGCAAGGCAGTTGCTGTCCCGTGCTTTTGAACCCAGTTTTGTTTGAAACCAGTATTGAGTCCCTCAGCAGTGAACGGCGTAGTTCATCATCACCATCACCATTGACTATGTGGTATGGAGGGAATTAATCTAAAGGCTCATTAGCACATCCGCAGAGAATGGCTGTACCTTCCTTACGTCCTATTTATAAAAGCACGGTGACATATTTGCGCTCCATAATTCAGTGCACTTTCAAATCGGCCCCACATTCCTGGTGTGGAGGTTTAGAGGTCTCGAGAATTTTCCACTGGCGATAGCCACGGATTTTGCTCTTTACTCATTTTCCTGCTCCCTGCACACCACCACCACCCCCCCCCCCCCCCCCCCCCGTATATCCCTGCACCGTTCAAGAAGCAGCCACAGTGCCCAGCTATCATTTGTCTTTTCAGTAGTCCCGCAGTTCTAAAATTTGCTACAGGTCATTTCTCGCGTACCCCACACATGGGCGACTCGGAATTGAACTGCCTTGTTACGTTTTGTCACTCAGCTGTTTTGTCGACCTCCTATATAGATCCCTACCCCAGTCAGGGCCAGCCTGCCAATGTCAATTAAATTCCTTGCCACTCGTGCCCTGGCAGGTTGTTACAGCTAGCAGACCTGACCTTAGATGTGGTAGAAGGACCTTTGCCTACAGGCCTGCTCTGGCTCTCTCTCCAAACACAGCTTCCCTGCCCACCCGGCTACAATCTCCTGTTTATAACAAAAACTGCCCTGCCAAATGTAAACTCGTATACTACAATTGTCTGTCACTTAACAGACCAGCGGTAGTAAATTATGGGGCGCTGAGTGCAGGCAATGTCAGGTTTCGTGATGTTTGTCAACACTCTCACTCTGCCGTCGGTCTTTTGAAAAGCGAAGCAGTGGGCATTGCTCACGGGGGTAGAGAGGCGCTTGTGATTTTGCGTAGAGGAATAATACCAAATTAGGTTAAGCACTTGAAAGCATCTTTTTGGTAGGCTCCCCTTGGTTACTTTCCAGAGTTGTAAATGTGAAAAACAAGTAAGAGTGGCAAGCACTAAGAAAACAGGCAGGCCAGCGAGGAAAAAGCGTGGGCTACGTGGAGACTTTTTATACGTCTGCTTATATTGTGCACGCTATAGATACACAGCGTTAATGCTATTCATTGATACCGGTTACGTAACTGAAATATTTTACGATCATCTTTGACAGAGCAAATTGGATATTTACACGTAAATGTTACACTTTGTTTATGTTATATAAGCTAAGCGTGTGTGTGTGTGTGTCACTTTGTATTTTTAAGTAAGCCGTTGAGTAAACCGGTCTGTAACTTATTCAGTGCAGGCCAGTACAGTTAAACAGTTTCAGGCAATTTCGCAGTGTTGTATGAGCTTGTGCATTGGTTAACGGTGGTGCATTGCTTCGCGAGCTGCGATATGAACATCGCCACCCAAGTTTGATCCCCAGCCACAGATAACATCAGTGGCAAGTATGGTCAAACAATATACCACAACTAACGCAGCATATGAAGACCTTCATCTAGCAGCGGTATTGACAAAGAGCTATACATTATTATTTTTGTGATTTCTTTTTTAAATGCATTTATCAACCTGAAAGTCATTTTGATACATTACATCATGGGGGTTTGATAATTTTAAAATATTCTCTGAAACATACGTTTTCATACAGAGTTAAATTCCATAATGTTTGACGATGATGCTAATAATACTGTAGTGTAGTTGATGTTCAGTCCAGCGGTTTAAAATATTGCCACCGTGGGGCTCATCTTATTCTCAAATCTCATTTGTTTATCTTCTACAAATGAACCGCATCGCATTATGAAAGGCGAACTCGCTTTCACGTGGGTGCTCTGCTGATGTCAGTGATTACAAGTAAAGTCAGGTTCCAAAATCTAAAGCATTGAATCGCAGGAGAGTGTACACATATATATAATCGAGTTGAGCTATCGCAACGGTGACGGAGTTTGCTCTTTTTTACCTTGTTTAAAGTTTAGGGAGAAACAGTTTTTGTTCTCAGAAAAAAAACGCAAGTTTGTCTTATGTTACTTGCATAAAAAACTGAAACGTAATTCGGTGTTCTGTTGTTGGTAAAGTATGGTATTCGGGTCATAATTTGCAAAACGACAATTTTAATCTTAATCTGAGTCATCCGATCTACTCTTAATGAAATGTTGGTCTCAACGAATTGGATATGACAGGTATTACACATCATCATAGCTATCATATATGATATTGACAATTAATTTACCTTCAATGTCGTGTATGCTTGTGCACAGGCCCATTGCGAGTAACTGTACCCGCTGTTATTATATAGTACTTGGTAAACACATGCTCTTGCACACTTTCAGTTTGAGAAAACACCCCCACGAGATGCTACTTGTTCACTATTTTACACTGGCACTATTTAATGCTCACCAAATTTTCGCGTAATTAAAAAAAAGTTGTTTTCTTAGGAGGACCATACCTTATGGGCCTGCGCGTGCGAGATTGTGCGTGTCTAATTGTACATGCACACTCATGGGTACATGTGCAAGCTTAAGACATTCGAATGCATGTCCATTGAGCATAGGTAATTAAATTATCTCGTTGATAATTGGATGGCTGTATCCACTCAACTCCCTCTCTTTCACATGGACCTTACTTGGCTGTGATGCGGGGAGCACACACCACTAGGGAGGCACAACAACGTCTCCGTTATTTCTGTACATTGCAAAATGATGCGTGTTACAGCGTAATGGTCGATTAAAAACTGAGTGTTAGATTGGTCCTAAAAACAATGTAACACGTGACTTAGAAAAAAGGCAGTGTGTGCGTAATCGTGGCATTTACACAGTGTGCATGACCTCCCTGAGGTGTATCAACATGAAAGAAAGGTCTCCGCGTATAGTATTTTAAGAGACTGTAGGGGCAAGTGCTGTTAATGAGCACCTGTGAAGGCCAACACAGCACACGGGGTGGGTCGGCCAACAGCACTTCCTAGTGCTGATGTTTACACACTGCACCGGGTACTATATTTAAGTCTCAGTCTACCTAGGAGAGGCCCGGAACCAGTCCAAATATTCGCCACTTTTATGGTCGTGAGTAAGAATCGAACTTGGATTACCGGGTTTTTGGCACAGTGAGCTAACCACTGCACCACCGCTCCCCACGCACACAGAGACACGTCTCAGGCAGCGTTAACCATAACTCTAAACATGGTATCTAGTGGTTCATTCCTTTTATCCATAAAAGATAACAGAAAACCCTTCCTGTGATCTGTTACAATTGAGTGGTTTTTCCATATTTTTCCAATTATCTGTATATTGGCAGATAATAAAAAAGTGCAATCGGATGTCAATTCAACCATATATCACCGTAGAAATCGGTGCAGGTTGGTAAATATACTTACCTGCAATTACAGTTTACTCCACCAATTATATTACGGTCACAACTATACAGCAATGCGATGCTACCTTAATAATGCAATCATAGTCTACTATACTAATTACTGCTAAAATCACATCCATTGTATCAATGTATTGCAATAACGTATCCTGCAACTAAAGTTTTAACCTATTGATCAGAAACGTGTGCACTGACAAGGAAGATGAAACAATAACTGAACAAGTACACAAAGAAGCGGGGAGGGAAGCTTGCTTGGAATTGCTGAGAGAGTGAAACCTGAACACGTGGATCAAAGAACAACTGCAAATAAGAAACATCTTACGGACTATTTCTAAAAGTAACTACAGTCTCTTCTATCATGCGGTGGTTGCATTCCTGAAGAACAACACCACGTTATGGAAAGATCGTGTTATAATCAATAATATATAATTTCGGATAAAACACCGTCTGTGAGATGCGTGTGCAGGCTGAACAAAGACTGAGGTGCGTGGGTAGCATCTAGAAGCATCCAGCAGCATCGCTCCTTGTGGGATGCTGCACCAAGGCAGCCATACAAACGCTTGTTCCTACGCGTGCGGCATTAGTTCTGTTCACCCAATCGCGTTATATCCAATTCGCGTTATGAAAACATGTGTAAGAGGTGAACAGACTGTAGGCAAGATGCATTACTAGCAGGGATGACAGCTGACGGATGAACCTGTTGATGTAATGGCAGCCAAAGAAGAATACACCCGACAGGACCACCTCCAGAGAGATGGAGTGATGAGATCAGCACACAAAATAAAAATAT